TCACCTCCCTCCAAGTCATCCAAGAATATGCCTTTCTTATAATCAGTTGAAGACAGATGCTTTTAGTCTTAAATAGGGAGGTTTGCACTTTAAGTGTCTTATCAACAACTCTTTAATCGTGAAAGAGCAAAAGTTATATCACTTGTTGTGGAAAAGATTAAATATGTTGTTTTTCTGTCATCAAATGAAGATGAGCATATATATATGTATGTATGTATGTATGCATGTGTTGTGTATTTTTAAAACTCCATAATAGTTGGCTTTTGAGGCAGTAGAATAAAACAAGTAAGGTAAACGATTCTGATTTTAAATTTAACAGGTCATATATAAAAATGATTTCACTTTTAGTTCTACATACTAGATGGTGACTGAACACTTAATAGTGGGCACTGAATGATATTTATAGTTGCTGAGGCGAGAAATTACACCTGAAACTTATACCATGTTGTGAAGTCGTGTTACTTCAATGAAAAGAAAAACAAGTAACAGGAAGCATCATAAGGAAATTATGTAAATTTTTCATTTTAAAAGGTAACTTGCACATTCCACCAGCTTAAGGTATTAAAAAATTACAAATAGGGCCTCCCCGGTGGCGCAGCGGTTGAGCGCTGGGTTGCGAAACTGCGCGCGACCTCTGCGGCGCCGGTTCGATCCCCGGCTGCTCCCCCGGCCACCGGAGGAGGGTCCCAATGGCGTGCAGACCCTCCTGCCGCCCGCTGCTCCCCTCAGCAGTGTGCTTCGGTCCTTCTGCCTGCTCTGCTCTCTGCTCTGGCTCTGGTGAATTCTCTCACCTCCCCGCGCCTTCTGACTGTTGCCTAGTGCATGTATAAACAAAACAAACAAACAAACCAGCAAACAAATAAATAAAGCATGCCTCTATAAAAAAAAAAAAAAAAAAAAAAAAAAAAAAAATTACAAATAAACAACATAATAAAATATTTGACATAAAACCAGAATAGGAAATGACAGATCACAGGGGAAACATAAAAGCACAGAAAAATGTCCAGTCTCACTAATAATTAAAGAAATGTAAATTAAAACAATAAGATTTATTTTTATGTATAAAATTAGGAAAAAGTTTGATGATTAAGTGAGGTTTGGGGAAAATAAGCACTCTCATACACTGCTGGTTAAGTGTAAATTACTAAAACATTTTTGGAAGGCAAATTTCAGTATCTATCATGGTTTAAGAAAGGATGCTTCTTTGAGACATAAGTCCCATTGTTAGAAATTCATCCTACTTAAATGCCCACAAAATAATGCCAAAACAGAAGTAAAGATGACTGCAAAAAAATTTTTAGTAAAACAAAGAACCAAAAAAACTTAAATTCCCATCCTGACTGGCTAAATAGTGTCCATATAGTTAAATATAATTTAGTCATTTAAAAGGTTGAGTAAAATGTAATGATGAATGGAAAATGGTCCAAACATGTTATTAAGTGAAGAAAATATGGCACAAACACTGTAAACAATCCCTATTGTGTAAATAAAAATGGTCATGCAACTCCATGCAGATATAGGCATTAAAAGTTTCACAAAAAGTTAAACAAGAAACTAACAATTACTAATTTGGAAGAGAGGTATTATGACCAAGAATAGGGGATTAATTTTGCTTTCTACTTTTACTCTACTTTTTAAATTTTAAATATCAGCGTTTTTCTTTAATGTTAACAGAGATGAACTAGTTGATAAAGATTTTCATTTTTTCTGTTTACTTTTAGCATTTTTTAAATAAAAGAGGCTGTAAAGATTGCTCAAAATGTATCAAACAAGATTTAACTGGGCCAGTATTATTTATTTTTTAAGATTTATTTTTATTCATACAAAAACTGGGGTACAGGCCAGAAATGCAGGGGGTGAGAAGATTCACCAGAAACAGAGCAGGGAGCAGAACAGGCAGACTGACTGAAATACACTGCTGAGGGGAGCAGCTGGGGATATAGGAGAGGTCTGCCATGCCATGTGGGCATCTTCCTGGCCGCCCGGGAATTGAACCTGCACTGCAGAGGCTGCAGACAGCTCTCAGCACTGCGCTCAACCTGCTGTGCCACTGGGGAGGCCCCTGGGCCAGTATTATTTATAATATTGTCATGAGTGCACACTTAATTCCACACTAACTCTGGGTAGAATTAAGGCAGAGAATAAATGCAGCCACAAGTTTAATATGATCTGGTTAAGTGCTGTGGTTTTCAGAAGATTGTTGGAACTGAAAGGCCACTAACATGTTCAACACAAAGAATTTCTAACAATAGAACCATGTGACCACAGCAGGTAGAACCTCACAAAAACAGTCAACACTGTGTCAACAGATGTGCTTGAGCATCCTGCTTCCTCTGCCTAGAACACCCACCTCTGCTTTCCTTCCTAGCTACTTCAATTCAGACTTCACTATGCTGGTAGAGCATGGGTGCTTTGCTGGCAGGTGTGCTCTGGTAACTACACCTAAAGGGGGGGATCCTATACTTCCAAGTTACTAATGACAATGTAAACCAATGTTACCTCAATAAATAGATAAATCAATTAAAAAAATAAACAGCTCAAGAATCACCATCATCTAATCAAGAAGGGAGATGCTATCATGATCCCTGTTTCCTTACCTTGTGGTTTAGATCTTTGCTACATGAAATGTGATCCTTATGTTCAGAAACATTGGTGTGATGTTACCTGCAAGTTTGCTGAATATGCAGGTTCTGAGACTCTAGGCCTGAGAACCACCAAACCCAATTTCAACAAGATCTTTAGTGATTTAGCATCACATTGACATTTAGGAAGCAGTGGGTAAATGATAACACTAGGTCTGCCCACATTCCTGCCCACATGGTATCACAGCATTCCTCATATAGTATTTACAACTTGGTATACTTGTCTAAGTCCCAGGTTAGACTGTGAGATTGTTAAGGACAAGATCTGAACTTTTTGTTGCTGTTGTCCCATGTGCATTGACATATTAATGAATGAGAAGTAAATTCAAATTTTAGTTTCTTTTGTACTTCATCAGTTATATAGCAATGTAGAAATAGTAACTACAAATGACAGGAAAAGTAACTTTTCAAAAGTTATTTTGAAAAACCACTATGTTTAAATGTATACATACCCTAGAAACATATTACAAAATATTTTTATCCTCACCAAATACAGTACATGAAACCCAGAACTATACCTAAAGACTTTTATCATATTTGCCCTTCTTTAAAAGTCTCACATGCAAATTATTCTACAATATCACTACTTTAGATAGAAGTCAGCTGAAAAGAAATTACTTTTACATTTCTATTGTCTTCCTGATGACACACAAATTATGCTACTGTGCTACTGTTTATCTTTAAGACTGCAGCTGCGGCTGGCTCTTCATCATTGTTTACTATAATTACTACCTTCAGATTTCATTCTGACCCATATCCTATTATAGGATATGACCAGGCCAGATGCACGATTTCAGAAATCAGCAGCACTCATGGATATGTGCAAAACCATGGCATTAGAAATCTCTTTTTAAAATTCTTTAGTTATACCTTCACTTTTCAACAAAAATTCTCACCTGGCTGTTTCTCGCCACTCAGCATCCTCACCTTCACGCCAGCAAATCTCATCCAGTTCTGTGAAAAGGTCATGAGGAATGTGTTCCTCATCATCATCCTCAGTTCCAAGAATAAACTGAACCCGCTGTGATGGGGTATCTATGGACAGAGACATGAACACACGTTATCATGACTTCAAATTTAAAGTGTCCCAGTCACCAACTTCAATACCACTTCACACTCACAGGCCTCCTGCCTCCAACTGCATCAATGATCCAAAGTAGACTCAGAAAATTAAAACCAAATTTGGTACTATATTAACATAATTGGGGCACATATATATGTAAGTGTAAATAAATAATGTATATATGTATTAGCAAAAATAAAATTTAATGTGATGATTATTTTGGATTATAACACAGAAATTCCTATTTCACAGACATATCTCATCATATTTTCTATATTCTATGACAATATTCAGAAGAGCAGACTGACAAAATTTGCTTATACTAAACCTATGCTGAACATAATTAACCAAACAATTCTTTTGTAATGCTTCTTTGCAGTCACACCCTTGTCTCTCCCCTAACCCTTGGCAAGCACTGATGCAGTCTCTGCTGTAATAGTTTTTGCCATTTCCAGAATGTTATATAAATGGAAGCATGTGGAATATAACTTTTTGGGACTGTCTTTATTCATTTAGCATCACACCTTTGAGATTTATCTGTGTCAATGAGTGTATCAGTAGTTTACTCTTCTTATTTTAAATTTTTTTATTGTTCTGGTCCATTGGGAGAATATACCAGTTTGTATATCCATTCACCTGTTAAAGGATATTTAGGTTGTTTCCATTTAGGGCAATTATGAATAGAACGATTAGAAGTGTTTGTATACTTAGGTGTGAACATACATTTTTATTTCTCTAAGGTAAGTACATAGGGATCTTGGATTATACGGTAAGTATATATTCAACTTTATAAGACAGTACTAAACTGCTTTCCAGAGAGTATCTTTCGCATCCCCAGCAGCCAGTTGCTCCACATATTCATCAGCTCTGGTTATTAATGGTGTTTTTAGTCATTGTATATAATGATAGCTCATCATTGTGTTAATTTACATTTTCCTGATGGCTACAGTTGACAATTTTCATGTGTTTGTCATCCATATGTCTTATTTGGTGAAATGCCCTTTAACTATTTGTTCCATTTTTAATTGGATTGTTTCTTTCTTAATATTGAATTTGAACATGATTTTTTAAAATTGGGAGGGGGCCTCCCTGGTAGCTCAGCGGTTGAGCGCTGGGTTGCGATGCTGCCCACAGCCTCTGCAGCGCCAGTTCAATCCCCAGCTGCTCCCCGGCCACCGGAGGAGGGTCCCACATGGCGCGCAGACCTCTCCTGCTGCCCGCTGCTCCCCTCAGCAGTGTGCTTCGGTTCTTCTGCCAGCTCTGCTCCCCACTCTGGCTCTGGTGAATTCTCTCACCCTCCCGCACTTCTGACTGTACCCAGTGCTTGTATAAATAAATAAACAAAACAAAACAAACAAACCAAAAAAAATACTTAATTAATTAAATTAAAAAATAAATAAATAAATAAATAAATAAAATTGGGAGGGCCTGAAAAAAACCTGTACCAATTGGGGAACATAGGTTGACACTTTCTACTATGGCCTCTAATCAGCCAGTTGGCCTTAACGGATAATTTACAAAAGATAAACATGGGAAATAAAGAAGTGAAAAGATGAAAATTAAATCAACAAAGAGATACCATTATACCCTATTAAAATAGCCAAGTCCAGAACACTGACTATAACCAATTGCTGACAAGGATGTGGAGCAACAGGAATGCACAGAAATTACTAGTGGGAATGCAAAATGATATAACCACATTCAAAAACAACTTAAGGACTTCTCACAAGAATAGACATACTTTTATTATATGATCCAGTTATCGTGCTCCTTGGTATTTTACTAAAACACTTGAAAACTGTGCCCACACAAAATTTGCACACCAATTTTTATAAAACTTGGAAGAAACCAAAACATCCTTCAGTATGTCAATGAACAAGTACATTGTGGTATAGCCAGACAATAAAATATTATTAACCACTAAAAATAAATGTGCTCTCAAACCATGAAAAAAAAAAACAAAAACAAGGAGGAATGTTAAGTGCATGCTGCTAAATGAAAGAAGCAATCTAAAAAGGCTACATACTAAATGGCTCCAACTATATGACATCTGGAAAATATAAAACTATAGAGTAAAATTATCAATATTGATCAGGGACAAAGTGAGGGAAGATAAATGGACTGAGCACAAAGGAGTTTTAGGGCACCAAAAATATTCTTTATGATATTAGAATGATGGATGTATATCATTATACTTTTGTCCAAAACCATATAATTTACAATGCCAATGAGCTAAAATATGAGCTTTGGTGATTATAATATGCCCAAAAGTGTCCATCCTTGGTAAAAATAAGGAAAAAAAAGTCTACCATTATGGTAAGTGATATTGGTTATTGAGAGACTATGTACACGTGGGTAAGGATAATATATAGGAAACCTCTCAATTTTGTCATAAAACTAAAGCTGCACTGGAAGGGATCATGCTCAGCGAAATAAGCCAAAAAGAAAAAGAAAAATACTGGATGGTCTCACTCATAGCAGGAATCTAGAAAACTTAAATAAGGGACCAGGAAAACGAGTAACTATAAGAAAGTGAAAATCAAAATCAACAAAAAACTACGAACCAGAGACACTTTTAGGGGGGCGGGGGTGGGAGGGGAGGGATTGGGGTCAGAATGGGGGGGCTGCAATTGTATGGGGAATATAAAAATAAAATTTATTATTAAAAAAAAAAAAAAAAAGAAAAGAAATGCTTAAAAAAAAATAGGGCATCTGATTAAATTTTCACTGTTCCCACCAATACATAACATTATATCTCATGCATGATTATTTATATTCAAGAAATTATAAGAAAGAGGATAAAGAAATATGTATCTATATATAGATAGATAGATAGATAGCATATTTGCCTCAGGTATTTCTTTTGTAGAATGTTAATGAGATTTGATTTTATTATCAAATAGATTGAGAAGTTTTTCAGACTAAATTTTACATAAAGATGAACAAGAATTGAATCAATAGCCAAATCTCGTGCCTCACTACCTCTTCAAGGGAAGATGCCAATTTCCTGGATGATAAATGAATGTTTATTTTTAAATGAAGCTGATGAATTTTTATAAATATCACATGTACTTAAGAAAATAAGCAGTACATTATGTACATTTCTGATCCAGTTTATATGAAATAAGAAACTTTTACTTGTCTTTTTCCTAAAAATACACTATCTGGGTGATGATTATGTAATATACACCAAACCTGATCTCATCAGAGTCAAATCAAATACTTCTAATCATCCTGTTCCTTTGTGGCTACTTGTTCTGGACAAACATACAAAAATTAGTACTTTAAATAATCATTTATAAAACAGAATAGCATTTTTATAATTATGCTAAGAATATCATCTCTTTCTGTTAGGCCTACTCAGTGTGAGCAGACACAGCCCTTTGGGCTACATTGCTGCATGTTCTGATTACTGACTCATTTTTCAGTAACCACATTCCAGAGCAGCCATGTCTCAACATTTGTGTTATTTTCCTCATGTTTTGAAATATTTTCTCTCATTACTGTTTTTTAGTGACTTATTTCAATTTATTTGCCATCAAAACTCTGAGTATCTATTATACTTACCATGTATTCAGCCCACCAAACTTGACTGCTTCATGTATGAACCTTAAGCTTTAGATTTATTATTGTCCTTTCTCATATAGCATGAGGATCATTAAACACACACCTTTGAAGTACTAGTCATGAAACAATAAACAAAAAGAAGTAAGATCTCCATGATTATGAATAAAGAGAATTTAAAAGTCTGAAGCAACATGTTAGGTATTAAAAAGACTTCTCTAAGACTCAATTGTAATAACAATAGTATAGGAAATCATGATTTATTAAAATAAGATAGTATTTTATTTTGGTTCAAAATACCATTTGACTACCTACATCTGGCTTTCAGTCTTTCAAGTAGAAATTATTTTTATAGGTATTAGGTTATGTTCACAAAACTCTTTTAATGGCTATCCCTACCAACATAGTTTTAACATCTTAAAGAATAACTCAGATTATGTTAAAATGCAGCATATGTTTAAAATGTCTTATTCAGTGATCATTTTTTCATGTCCATGCACCTAAAAATAGTATGACATAGTCATATAAACTGCAATACTAGCAAAATTAGGAAGAATTTTCTAAGCATGAAATATGTCTCCTATGTTGATAGGTATTTGATTTATTTTCAAGACAGTTACAGAAACAGAACAAACCGTAGCCAAGAGTATAGCAAAACAACATTTGAGTTTGCTTCTATATTTACTATAATATACAATGAAAATCTATAGTGGCATTAAAAAAATTGACATAGAAAATAAGCTATTTTGTAGCTATTCTTTGTAGCTATTCTTTTGAAATCCGCAGACACATCAAAAGATAAAGAGTGAAAAGTAAAGTCACAAATGTGAGAACATATTTGAAAGATATAAAATCAACAAAGAACTTACATCCATAGTATATAAAGAACTTATACAAATCAATTAGAAAAAATAATTCTATTTAAAAAGCATAAGATTTGAATAGGCAATTAAGAGAAGATGCTATCTGAATGGTCAAAAAGCCCATGCAAAGTTGCTCAACCTAATTAGTAATCAAGAATTGTAAATTAAAACAACCTATCTTTACACATCATATCAGAATGGTTACTGTTAAAAGAAGGAAACTGTCAAGTGTTTGGAAGAATGTAAAGCAACATAAGCACTCATCCTTTGCTGGTGGAAATGTAAATATGTACCCACTTTGGAAAAACAGTTTGCTTTATCTACTCAAACACAGAAGATGCATACCTTATGATTCAACAATAATTTCATTCTTAGGTGTGAAAAATTCATATGTGTACCAAGAGACACATACAGAATATTCGCAGCAACATTATTCACATTAGCTCCAAAATGTAAATGATCCAAATGTCCATCAATAGTAGAAAGTATGCAGGCATGCATGAACACTATACAATAACAAAAATGAATAAAGCAAAGTTACAGCC